GAAAAGCACCTGCGTTAACTTCCCAAGAGTACCTCCTTCCCCTACCTCTTTTCCTTCTCCCTCTGCTATTTGCTTTTTTGCTCTTGCTTGTTTTCGACCACCTCTGAAGAACTGGGTCATCGACAGTTTGTGGAGCAGCATTTTGAAGAACATGGGAAAGTGATAAAAAAAAGAAAAAAAACATGGTCTTGCTATGAGAATAATCTAAGGTTTCTTTAACAAGTAGCCTGGTTATCATATTAAGCTGTCAAAAAACACATTAAAAGGAGGAGGCACAATTCCCTGCACAGAGAAGATGGTGGGGGGAGCACTTCTCATTTCCAGTGTAAAGAGACAGTCCACCAAGGGCAGCAGAGTGCTTTGCAAAGACTCACTCTCTCTTTCTGGCCCACTCATAACATGATTACGAAGCCCCTATTATGAGGGCCAAGATGCAGTGTCAGTCACTTAGTTGGAGAATAATATCTTGGGCTAGGATGCAGAAAAGATGACACTCGTTTCTTTTTTTATTAAAAAAAAGAGCTGCAGAGGAAAGAGCATCTGAGGGTGATAATGTGACTTCAACAATTAGATGGCATGGTTGAGGAGTGGTGCCCTTCGAAGAATAACAGGATTAACCAAGAAGACTGCCATTTGCCCACATAATAATGACAGAGAAATCAGTTTGACTGAGAATAACCCCTTTAAAAAATAAATGTTAGATAGTAAAGTATAAAGAGGGTAAGGTGTTTTATGGCCGTTCTACTCTAGTAACATATAATTGCACTAAAGAGTTTGGCTTTTGTTGTTTCCTTGTACCCCCATTTAGCTGATTGTCTGAATTTTTAATATCTTAAAAATCAGGTAAAACACTATTGAGGAAAATTAACTGCCTGTTGTTTCACAGAATACTGTTTAGTTTAATATTTTCTCAGCTGAAAAACATCATTCTTACTATGCTAAGTCTGCTATAGGAGTTTACTGGCTGTATTAATTCAGTCTGGCCTTACCATGCCAGTTCCACACCAGTATGACACCTGGAAACCAGTCTCTTCTGGAAGTGTAGATGGTTAAGAGCTGTGAATATAACATATAGCAAATTTAGTTGTTTTGAACTGAGAAAAAAAATAATAATTGGGTTTACAGCAGCATGGGCTTTTTCTAATTTACAAAACCTAGCTTCAATGTTGTTTTGACAATCTAAACATTTTAGTTCAGAAGATTTAGTTTAGAAGTTTTTAGTTTAGAAGTTGTAGTTTGCATGTTACATCAGAGCATTAACGAAGGCTTTTCAGGCCTAACTTCAAGTCCTCCGATGTTTTTCGGTATTTTCTCACACTCCCAATCGGCATGCCATCCTGTTTGCTTGGCCCCTGAGAGGAGATGGGGGGGGTTGCTCAAAGTGGGCCGGCAGTGGATGGATGTGACGTGGGGGAACTGGGTCTCGACTGGAAGGGGAGGCTGGAGCCACGACAGGTATCCCCCCGCACTTCCTCGGCTATTTATAAAACCGTGAGTCCAGCGCCTGGCCAAAAATAAAGACAGAGGCCATTTTTATCAGCAACGATGACAGAGGGGACAAATAAAGACTCCCTTTATGCTTTCCAAACACAAACACACAGGAAGCTGAAAAATACCCATGTGCATAAACAGCTGAAAGTGAAAAAGTCCTCACAAGACAATGAAACCATCTATGTTGTCCTATTCAGCAAACGTGCACACACAAACACACACACAAAGGGGACAAAAGTCAATACCAAGGCTGAACTATTTTTGTAGCAGGACTGTTTAGGAAGTGTGGGCCAGGTGCCAGTATTCTCCTCAGGATCGTCTGGCCTGTCACTGCAAATGGCGCTCTTACACGAATTCATCTCTTTCCTTCTCCCTCACCCTGTCCTCACCCTTTTTCAGTCAATCCCCTGCTCCATTGTCATATCTCTCTCCGCCAAATAAACAAGGTTGTTTGTTTTTCCACCAGGTCCAACCGCAGTGCCAGGTGAAAGCATCAGCTGGCAGGATAAAGAAAGTGGCTGTTGTGAGACCACAAGCCCCCCCAACCTACCGACCCTCCCTGCTCTGGACCGGCGAACCTTGCAGCAAAGCACTCGGACTGGAGTTTCAAACAAAGTGCCCCCCTCATTTATTATACATGCAACTGCACTGAAAATCTCCTTCTCCAACGCCATCTCCTCTCCTCTCTCTTTCAGCTTCTCTCTCTCCATCTTCTTCACTCTCTTCTCGCCTCGTCCCTCTTCGTTTTCTATCTTTTTTCTTTTTTTCCCAGACAGAGCATGTATAAAGTATGAATAAAATTAATGACATCACGAGCTGCACTTTGGAAGAGACACTGTAAGGAAAAAGCCATACATCAAGGGGCAGAGGGAGTCAGGCAAAAAAAAGAGAAAAAGTTTTCAGAAAAAGGAAGAAGAAGAGAAAAAAAAACAGGAGTGGGCGGTAGGCGTCGCTTAGCTCTTCCCCACCCTCAGGGTACTTTTGTATCGCTGTATGTTATTGTGCTTATATAGTTTGAATTCTAATATGCTTTTGTTGAAAAGTTTAAATATCATATTTTAATTATCTTTGATATATTTCATCTTGCTCACTTCTTTTCCTACATTTTTTTTTTTGCCTTTTTGTTTCCAGCTAGCTTAGTGATGTATGTGGTCTCAACGGGTCTGTGCTGCACATCATTACATAGGCTGGCCTTTGGTTGGGAATGTCACAGATGACAGTGGAAAGGAACAGTTCTGTGGACTTTGGCCGTACACCGTCTGGCTAAGCTGTGTGCTCTGAAAAAAAGTGGGAACTCTGTGTGTGAGCTGTTGAATATTGTTTTTCTTTCTCCCGATGAGCCTCCCCCCTGACTCCCCTGCCACCAGGGATAGATTTATAAGAGAGTTCCCTTGGATCAGAATGGTAAATTTCCTGATATGGTTTCCCAAATATCTAAAAGAGAAAGGAACATGATTAATATTCTTTCCTGGCGCACGGAGAAACATACACGTGCAGAACTGTGCCGATGGCCGAAATTTTTGTGCTGCATTGTTTGATGACAAAAGAGCAAATTCACACCAAAGAATGACTTAGTAAATTTCCTGTTAATTCAGTGTGCACACAAGAGCTGCTAAAAATACTCTGTATTGCAACTCAAAGCTCTCAAAAAGCACAGGGAGCGGTGGTGACAGCAGCAGCAGCAGTGCCGCGGATTGTGGCAGCCGACCGAGCGTGGGCTTCAGATGGATGGAAGCGTATGTGAGGCCACGACACAGAGCTACCTCTGTGCGTCTCGCCGGACTCGCGCAGAATGACTCGGCTATGTTGCAGTTGTGACAAAGATAAATTACAGTCGTTGGAAGACGTCTCTGTTTTTTGTTTTTTTTTCCACCCTCCTTACTTTTTCTCTCTCTCTCTCTCTTTCTCTGTCTTTCCAGCTCTTTTAATTTTGTTGGTACTGGCTCTATTCCAAATGTGTCCTCCACCAAAAGAGGCAAAAATATCTTAGGCATACAATTTTGGCCCTTTAATACTTAAAGGTCAGGTACCGTTCTTTGAAATACAGCGGACTTTCGTTCTCTTCTCCCCCTTCCACGTTAAATGACCCCCTGGAAATCCTCTCAACTTATTTTCAAAAAAATGTGTGTGGTCAAAGAAATAACACTTAGTTGCACTGATTAAGTCTTTATTTCTATGTACTCAATTAGCAGCAATTATATGGATTAGGATTGAAATCAACCAATTCACCCCGATTCGGCCCGAGGCATGAACCTGATTATTAGTGTTGTGGTGTACAGAGGATTTGAAAAAGACTGGTTTCAAATCACAAACTTTTCCATTACACAAATTCTGCCGGCTGAAGTCCACTCAATCAGATCCCAAAGACCTTTTTTCTTTAATTACTAACACGACTCTGCTCCTCCATAAACTGCTGCTTTGCTCCGTTGGTTAGCTGGCTGAAAGATGACTTCTGCGCTTTTCCTTTGCTTTCCAATTCTTGGGGGGTATTAAATATTCAATATATGGTATGGAAACTGGTGCCACCCATCACTGTTACTAAGATATAATTTTAGCAAAAGTAAGGTTAACTGTTGCTCTTCTTTCTTTAAAATATTCCCTCTATTAGGCTTCTTTTAAATTTATTAATTAACTAGGGTATTATTAGACATGTTTAGCTTGCCATAAGAATTTAATATTGGACCATAACTAAACGGATGCAAACAGAGAGCTGAATGGCAGAAAATGAGAAATTGTTTCTTTTCCTACCATATGAACCAACCACATGTACTTTCATGCATTTCGCTTAGGAAAAACGAGATAAAGATTGGTTATTTATTCATGATCGGTTGGACTCAAAACTACTATCGCAGCAAAAAAAAAAAAAACATTCTGCCGCACATTTTATTTTCTTTAATCCTTTGTCATTCTTAAAAAACTGGAATCAAAACCCATAATTCAAGAAAATGAATGAATCGATACAATTGTTCCCAACAAAAAGCTGTAGGATTTTCATGCTCAAGAACCATATCAACTAATGTATAAACAGTTTTGTTCTTATTTACATTTGACTTTATCATTTGAGTTTTGATATTGAGGCTTTCAGGATGATGTGTTTAAACAAAGAAAACCCTACCTCTGCTCTATTCTAAATGTTTCTCTTTAACTTATCATTCACTCCCTCTATTTTTGATGATTTTTTTTTTTTTTTTACCTCCCAAGATTCTCACTGTCCAAATATTTCAGGGAGCTGGCCTCAAGTATGGTGAGGTGTCTCTAGCGTCTCGTTAGGTGGGCTGCAGCTGACGATATGATTGTGTGGTCAGCACTGCCGAGCGCAGACCACCCAGCAGGCAGCCGCTGTAATAATGACCAACAGTGCAGGCAGGAAACAGGAAACAGGATGAAGAAGGCAGGACGTCCTGTTCATCTAGATTGGGGTGCTAAGGATGACATCACGAAAGCATCGCTCTTTCACGAAGTGCACCTGAGCGGAGGCCGAAGGTTTTGTTGCTCAACTCCTAACTAACCTCAAACGCGTCTGTTTGTGTCTGTTTTCATCAGCATCAGTCTTCTCAGTCTGCCTTATCAGCCCCTCGCATTGACACTGTTTTCCAGACTGCTCCATCATCCCAGACATCAAATCATTTTCTCTTCAGTGTGAGAAGAAAAGGGAGAGAGAAAAAACAACAAGAGGCTTTTTGATTTGAATATACACCAACAACAACCTCGCAAAACTAAGACAAAAAAAAAGAAGGCACAAACATTCTGATGCATGAACACGCGGAGACAAGACGCAAAGTCGAACACGCGCTTGCGCAGACACCCATATGCACATACAGACAGACAAACACACAAAACACAGAACAGCAAACACAAAGCACAGCACAGCCAGAAGTCTACTTTATGCAGAAATATTCTAAAGTGTGTTTTACAATACAATTAAACATCAAAGGCTGATATATTCCTCTGTGATCTTTAACACCCCAGCGAACACACCCATACACCCCCACTACCCCCACCCCATCCATCCACTTACAACGTACAGAGAAAGTTGCTGAACGTCACTGCTAATTACTAGATAGAGACCGAAGAATGTTTTGAATTATTATGCAAAAACCAGGACATATTCAAATGTATGCATTCAACACATCCAAGAAGTGAATTATTTATTTAGATTACTGACACTTCTTTAAGTTCTTTTTGTGTGGAGTGATTTTTAGGCTTCTGTGAAGAAACGACGACTAGGTTTGAGTAAGGCACAGATCCATGTGGAGGGAGATTTAGAACATTCTCAACATTAGAGACAAGGAGAGAAAAGCGTGTTGCAAATTAACAAATAAACACATGCTGAAGTTGAGCCGGACACTTTTCCGAGCAATTATACAACAATGCAAAAACAAATGGAAACTGCAGAAGAAGAAGAACCGTGTCTTGAGCATATGAAGAGAAAAAAAACACACATATGGTTGTAAGAACTTTCACTTGATAAAAGACAAAACTTAAAGACTTTCATAAGAAATGTAATTATATATATATAAATATATATATATATATATATATATATATATATATATATATATATATATATATATATATATAAAGAAGGAGAGAGAGGTAAATGTACACGGAAGAGACAATTCTCAGTTGTTTTTCAGGTATTTTTTATGATCTAGAGTAAATATAATTCTCTACAATTGACTCTCATATTACCTTTTCATTTGAGCCAAAGGGCATGAAGTCCAATTACAGTTTCTCAATATCTCCCTCTAGATCTTGCCAGCCGGCAATCTGCAAATGAATGTTTAACTGTGCAAACTGTGCAAACTCCTTCCAAAATATTTGAAACCATTAGTGAAAAAAAAACAAAAAACTTTGAAGCACACCAAAAAGGGCGCTATTAAACTATTTGCTTTAACATAAATACATTTGATGTTTTCATTAAGACTGTTTTTACAGATCTGGTTTTCCATGATGAGGGAATCTTGAACTGAGCCTTTTGTGCTATATTGAATGTCTCTGCTCAGAGCAGCATACATAGTGGGACTTCTTCTAAAAATGGCTAACATGTTACGGTATTCACAAGTTAACTTTCTCGTTATATTTCACTTTCCATAGGCAGCAAATTAAACTAATGAAGTTTTTTTTTTTTTTTTTTTTTAAACACACGGCAAAACCTTTCAAAAGCTGGAAATACAAAGTGTCCCTTCCCCTCACTTAACTAAAGCTCCGCTGAGCCCCTGGTGTACAGCAAAGTGCCCTAACAATCGGCTCAATGCCCCAGCCAATCAGAGGGACACGTGACCTTCTAATCCCTCTCTGTGAGAAGGGTAAGAGTGTATTGTCACTGTTGGTTTTGTGAATCGGCATTCAAAATCCCAAATGATTTGTCAGGAGGTGGAAGGACTTAAGCTAAACAGGAGAAGCAACTGCAGCGCGGGCCAGATAGTGTGGGTGTCGATGTGTCCTCTGATGCAAAAAAGGGCGAGCGCGTGTGTGTGTGTCTGCGTGTGTAAGGGAAGGACAGACAGGGAACCTGGTTTCGTCTTTGCACTTGCGCGTGCTTGTTCGCAGCAGACGTCTGCTGTGTGTGTGAGTGTGTGTGTGTGTGAAGGGTCTCTGAGATTACAGAGCTTGGATGACAGGAGTCCTCTGTGTGTAATCGTAGGTCCACATGCGAGTGCTCACCTTCCTCTGAGCGGATTAACCTAACGCTTAATCCCAAGAGAGCAACAGGCCAGAGAGGCCACACAGAACAGCTTCATTGACAATAGTCAGGGGAGGGAAGGCCACGTGTAAGATCTTTGTGACAAGAGTGTATGTTTCTGATAAAATTACAATTCACTAAAAAAGATGACAAACTTTGGCGGGACGAAATAAAAAGAATGAGCAATTAAAGCTGACCTTTTAAAATAATATCTCACTTAAATGCAGGATACTTTAAGCAGAGGGTGAGTGGCTCTTCTGTTTTTGAATTCAGGGCAAGAAACGACTGTGCACTGACTGAAGGTATGAAGTGCGCATTAGACAGAACCAATAAGCCGCTCCGACATGCTGCACAATTTGTCAACTTAGGATATTTCCTTTCTGGGGTGATGTTTTACATTTCTATAAGTTTGGCAGTCAGTGTGAAAAAAAAATTCTAAACTTCGGTGAAATTATTTTGTTTTTAAAAACTGTTTTCTTTTACTTTAACTATTTATTAAATTATTTTGAGCATAAAATTGCAGGTGAAATTCCCACCGTTTTTCCTCACAATGTTAAAATATAAGAAAATACACTTAGATATCAACTTTTCTCACAGTCTCAGATTTAAACTGAGCAAAACCTATTTCTGCATGGAGTCCGTACACTTTTAAAATGAAACAAACAGTGCAGGGGGTTTAATTCAACTCTGAGGTGGCAACTTGTAAAAGTTGGCACAAGTTAATTATATTGTCCTTTTTAATCCTCTCACTGCAACAGGTTCAGTTGTGCCACTGGAGACTCAACTGTGCTCACCTTGTAAATATATCACACTCCTCTTGTAGTGGTTACAGTAAGTCAGTCTCAATTACAAAGTCACAGAAAATGAATTGTTAGCTCAGTCTTGTGGAGAGTAACACTCTCCAAAAAGGACTGTTTTACAAAACTGTTCTGTGTCGTTCTGCATCAATTAACACCCAAGTCTATCAAATTGTGTCCTGATGCAATATGAAAATCCTTTTGTTGTAATAAAATAATTTAAGGAGAGTTTGTAGCTATATCATATTTGCACTTTAGTCCAAAAAATTGTGGCGTGGCATGCTTACATGTGTATAAAAAGATGGAAATATGCACAATAAGCTGAAAATTTCAAGCCTACTTGACAATTTTTCCACTTGGTCTAAAAGTTTTTTAATATTTTGTGATATATATATATATATATATATATATATATATATATATATATATATATATATATAATATTTTTAAGAGTGCGCTTCATTTCACTTTATGTGGCTTTGTGTATGTGGTCTCTCCAAAGCTGCACAAGGTCACCACAAGAGTAACATTAACAATGACATGAAACTCATTTGGCCTCTTTCTAATAGAACATAACCAGCTATTTGATGTCACCTTGTAATGATAGCACAGAGTTGACGCCGGCGGAGGTCACAACAAATCGATACGCGCAGTTAACGCACTTTGTTGACGGGCTGCGCGCGTCAAAATAGAGCCGCTAACTTTCCCCTTAGAAATAAAGGTCTAAATGTGTAAATGACGCTGCATTCCCGGGTGAGTGAGCGAGCGAGCGCCAGGTGTGAACGCGGCGGGTACTTACTTTTGTTTGGAATGAAATCTTCTTTTGGGTGAAGAGAAAGGAACAACAAGCGGGTCCGCCGGTTGCTTGGCCCGGCTGTTGGACGGGAAGAGTGAAGCCGCTGCCTGATGGGGGGGGGACGGAGTTCGCCGAGACGCACTTAAAATCCAGGAGCGCAACTTAGCAGAAGACGGCGCCGGGTAAGAAAAAAAGTAAACGTAAGTGGTAGGAGTCTGTATAATATCAAACCAAACTACTCTCTCTCTCTCTCTCTCTCTCTCTCTCTCTCTCTCTCTCTCTCTCTCTCTCTCTCTCTTACTCTGTGCTCCGTGTGTGCGTCTCCCCCCACCCTCTCTGTGATCGGACAGTATCTTCTCTGAAGGCGGTGAGGACGCTTCGCCTGCTCCCTCCAAGAGGTGCCGGTGAGAGGAGCGGGACTCGGCGTTAGAGGTGGAGGGGAGGTGCCAGCGAAGTGCGGGACGTCTGGGAGCCTGACACCGGTGTTCAGAGCGCCGTTTCTGCCTTCCCCTCAAATCCAGACCAAGTGTTGTTTTTTTTTTTCTGAAACCTTTCTACTCTCCCACCCTGTGCGAGAAGCAATAATCATTTCCCCCCCTTCTCCTTTTTTTGACTCCTGAAAAGGGGGCGGTCTCACATTTCCCCACTCTACTTTAATGAACGAGGCATGGTTTCTTAATACTTTATTATCACGCCAGTCCCGATAGACTGGACACACAATTAAGTGCTCCGAGAGGACCACTAGAGGAAGATGATTGGCTGATGTCTAGTTTAACTAATGAACCAACAGAGAGCGCGTCTGCGGTCTATTTTTAAAAAGCCGCCGAAGTTGTAGTGCTCATTGTGGGAAACTTATTTTTTTATTATTATTTTTTAAGCCCTTTTATCGGAAGTCGACCAAAATTTGCTACACAGCGAAAAAAAAAAATAAAAAAAAAGGTTTCTGGACTTGTATATACCTATTAAACTAAAAGAATATTGTAAGAGTGTGTTTTTAATTAGATTGGCAGTTATTTAAAATTAAACGAAATGATACTTTGTGAATCCAGTAATATTAATTAACAATATCAATCTGAAGTAAGTTCTTAGTTGTGATGATAAATCCTTCCTACATGTTTTAATTGGATTCAGACGTCAGTTTTGGCCAAATTCTCATTTGGCCAAAATGAGAATTTGTTTGTAAAAAAAACAAAACAACAAAAGTTATTAAACCTTCCCAATGAAAATCAAGGTAAGGAACTTTAATCAAGTGTGTTTGTTTATAAATGCAGTGTTCAGTAATGGTTTAGATAGGCTCTGTGTTGGAACAAGTATTTAATTAGGTATCCAGCTAGTTTAGTGGTGGCACTAATTTTGAAGTCAAAATCGTAGTCCAACCAACCTCAACCTGGAAATAGTTGTTGCCTATCCACTGGTTTCTGATGAAACATGTACAGCTCTTCTCTTGAGAACAGATTTTATAAGCTTATAGCATTTCAATAATTTCATTCAGGCAACAGTTATAATCTCTGAACAAACAAGATGAATATATTAATCTCAATAAATGTTAGAATTTTTGATTTCAAAAATTGAAGTTGGACAACTTTATTGTTTGACAAACTAACATAACGTGAGCCCTAAAATGCTGATGAAAATCTACCCAAAGACAATATTTGCCAGTTCTAACAACTGGTTTCGTTAGTGGAGGGGGAAAAACATCTCTTTCTGAGCCGATCCAAGGACTTCAGAAGAAAAGTAAGATAATGAACTAAATCATTGGATGTTTAACACAGCCTGAAAAGACTCTTTGTATCTTAAGGAAAATGATTCTCATATAGAAAAACTGTCTACTTTCTCAGGTTTTCTTTCCATCTATCCAAGTCTTAGCTATTTCATGCAGATAAGCCTTAACAGCAGTCAGTAAGTAAGCATTGTGGAAAATGCCAGCTCTTTATTCATCCAGCCAAATGATTTCCAAACATCCACTCTATTAGTGTCAATTAGAGCAGTAAGTTCACCACTAGAGATAAGACAGACAGCGCAGTGTCTTTGTGCAGAAATATGTATCCCATAGAATTTGTTAAATACCTAGATTTATTATAATAGTTTCATTATTCTCATTCAGTGGTGGTTGTATAAGAGAGGAAACAATAATAGATTTTGACCATAGGCTTGGGTAAGAATGTCAATTTTAGTTTGTTGCCACATACATATAGGCTTTCCAAATCCAAACTGCATTTTTTTTTAATAGCATACATCGTGACAGAGTGCAATTTGACAAGAACATGCATTGTGATGTATTTTTCCACACATCCTGATTTTAGATTTTCATAATGCCAAAAACAAACAGTGTTTGTCCTGTATAGAATTATTCATTGTAGTGTTGTCCAGTCTAGGTATAGATGTTGAACTAGAGCTAATCCAAGGGAGTCCAGACTGAGCTTAGCCTTCACCATTGTTGGTCAACTGCAGTGTTCAGCAATAATATATTACAAGGCGTATTCTCTGAACAAAAGAGGGGATTGCCCATTTCCTAACAAGGGGAGATGACCATAAGCAAACTGCAAGTTTTTATACCCCCCCAAACACACACACACAGACACACACAGTCACACAGTGGCCATGTTTATATTACTAATATCCACCATATTTCTGGTTGCTGGTTCAGTATTTTGCTATATCAATTCATACTCTGAAATCTACACCAAATAGTTTAGTCCTTCTCTGTGAGCCTAATGCACAAAATGTGAGTCCCTCTTTGCCTTCCTGTGGAGTGTAAGCTGCAATCTTGCCACCTAGTTAGTCAAGTTAGGAAATGTGGGGAACAAAGGTTAATAAATTAATCAATCTGGCTAATCTGTTTGACGGATGGACATTACAGCATGTAACTGAAGCCGCTGGTGTCTGATAACTCTGCGTGCCACCTTCACATCACATGACCCTTTAATCTTTAATAGCATTTCCTCTGGACCCTGGGCCTCTATGATAATCAATAAGGAGGAGTCTGTTAGACACCCTGAGTTCATAATGTGAACATGTCAGATATCAATAGCAAGTGAAACAATGAGTACACAGTTTTCACAACCTCTGCAGACGCTTTTTCTCCCCCTTCAGACCTCTGTTTCGACTGTGCGTAGAGACGATAAAGGAAACATCAATATGCATAGGTGTTTTTTTTGTATGTCTGTTTGGTTATACCACATTCAGCGTTCCTTCGTCTCCTGTCTTGCGTCCTTCTTGCTCTCTACACTGTCTGCCAGCAGCTCATTGGAGAGGTCCTTTCTGCACTGCAATCCTTGAGGTTGTCATTTAACGGCACCTGGAAAAAGAAACAAATTACAGAGACGTGACGTGAGGAAGTGAATCTGTGAATACACTTTAAAATATTTCTTTCTCAAAATATGTATGTGTGTGCATGTAAAATGACCACATGCAGGTGTCTGAATAAATTGGAGGCTGTGGATTGAATACATTTAAATGGTGTAAAATCATTAAAACAATGTTATCGTTAGCTCATGCATATTCATATAGGGGTGTATAACTGTAAAACTACAGTGAAGGCATACATCCAGCTTTATCAGTGCTCTTATTCTTAATCCAAAGCAGGGAAGATCCACTGCATATTCAAAATTCAAGAACACTGTAGAAATGATGACAATTAAGAGAGGTATCTACTCCAGGAGAGATATCAACTCCTAATAATTTAACAAAACCTTCCCTAAATAGTTCAGAATTATCGCTTTAAATTTTGCATACAAAATTCAAAGGGATTTGAACATGTCAAACTATTTTTTATAGTTTTAATAGTTTTTTTTTTCCACCTGAAACTTTCTTGGCCCTGATCATCCTTCCCTCCTACTCCTATAAGGCTGCGCTTAACATACAGAGGAGGGAGTGTGAGTGCGTGTTCAAGTGTGGGTTTGACAGTCGCATCAAAGCCCGATGGGGGAAAATAAAATTTGTTTTACAGTTTGCCAAAACAATTATGCAATTACAATATGTCACAGCATGTACACGCACTCCTCAGGCCATCAGCTAAATGTAGTTTACTGTGAGGTTTGGCATGTAAAGAGAACAGGGGAAACTGCAACTGGATGTTAAGTCAAACACATAAGTGCGGTTTGCTGATATTGATCTTGCTTGGATTGTTTCTTAAGCCTCTCCTGGCAGTCACTTTATAGCCTGTGTCACACACAGATGCTCTGACACACACACACACACAAACACAAGCGGAGTGGTTCATCTAAAAATGCGTTTTTGGTAACAGAGAAACAGGGAGAGCGGGAGGGGGAGAGAGGGAAAGGAATGCCTCTCTTCAAGCAAAAGATAAACACAAACACATTTCCAGGGCAAACAGGAACAGCCCAGGCTCAGTGCAATCTGTTGTCGATCACGCTCACGTGAAAATACAATCTGCCTGTCACAGTCGATGATGTTGTCAAGCACTCTGCCTCGGCGCTCCTGAGAATTAGCCGGCTATTACAGAGGCTCTGGGAGACGAGCGGAGTATTTGTTGTATGTCGGATATATCTGAGGATGCTCCCAGCTTTACTTGGTATTTACAGGTTTCAGTCGCTGTTTCCTGCTCTCATTTCCCTAATGAATTTTGGAGACGTTTGGTGTTTTGACAGTAGATTGATGCTACATGACGTGGCGACCAAAGCCTTCACGATGGGGACAAAAAGACCTGCAGGCCATTTTAACTCACAGGCTCAGCTGAGAAGCTATAGATTTCCCTTTTGCACATGGGTTTGCATATTGTTGCATGCTTTCTTTCTTTCTTTTAGAAGATACAGGTGTCTGAGGGGCATGAGGAGAGATAATATTTTCAGTCAAGTTTCTGCATATTATTCAGTGAAAAGCATGTGTAAAACAAATTTTATTCCTAAAATTTTATTCTTGAGCTTTATGAAAATGTATCATTTTTGGTTTAATATTTTCAATTTAATTAAGTAGTTCTTGATTTTGGGCAAGGATGAAACATTTTTTAATTGAATTGTCTTTTATCCAGCCTGTTAAATTTAGCATACATATTCAGGACATGCTCAACCCAAACATCTGGAGAGATATCCCCACTTTAGGAGTCACATCACACTTTGGAGAGGAGAGAAAATTCCTTTTCTCTGCTTTTTCTAATTTTGTTAGCTTGCAAAGCCTTGTATTTAATATGACTTCAAGCTCCTTATTAATATGATTGATAAGAAAACTCAGAGGGTAACATCACCAGTAATTATGCTGCTAGAAATGTTACCACTGTAAATTATAATTAGAGGAGTAAAGGTGACAAAAATGTATTTTGTTTCACTCAAGTTATGGAAGCACCCTTTGCTAAAATTAAATATATGAAACAACAACATTTTTGATCAACCGATTTTCTTTTTTCTTCCTATTAAAAAGCTAAAGATATATATATTTTCTATCAATATATACATTGATAGAAAATACATATATGTTTTATATTTAAATAAACTATGAATATAATGTTCTGTATTATTTTTCTTTGAAAACAAAAAAGCAATACACCTGTGTTGTTTTGTATTTGTTAATTATTTTATTTCTTTTAAGAAAAAAATAATTATTTTGGTAAACAATTAGACATAATTGTTATCATGACTAAAAAGACAAATAGCAATAACTGATTATCTATTTTTCATAAAAAGTTCAAGGCATGTCATACTTTCACAGCACGATGACCTTGAGCAAAAAACACCATCATTTTTAATACTGTCATAAACAAAAATGCATAACATACATTCTTGATTAAAAAAAAATACTTTATTAAAAATGTAGAATGAATTCCAAATAACTTTAGTTGAGGTGATAATTGCATAGAATATTAAACAGTTTTGCCTTTCTGCTCTTCATACAGTAACATTGGAGAAGAAACTAGCTAATTGTTGGTGGTTATTTAGTTGTGCTTTCTGCTGCTGTAGTCAACCTGAAGGGAGCTACATTACATGTCGCATGTTTGCTACCAAGTGCGGTTTTAAAACAGTAACATAATATCATAATAAGTGAGACAGCCAGAGCGCCACGACTGTCCTAGATTCAAACATTTTCAAAATTTGTAAATTGTTTTCCTTGAAAGGAAAAGAAAAGTGTAGAAGTTGCTTTCATACAGCCAGCTGACCACCAGCGTGCAACATGAGCTGAAGATGGCGGCTCTGCAGGATTTAAAGCTCCTTAAAGTCTGGGAAACCTCTAGCTTCTCATTAAAAGAACCTAACCAAAGGAACAGCGTATCAGAAAATCTTAATGGCATCAAAACTTTACGGTCGTAAATCTAGTCCGCTTACTTTCCAAACAGTTACAAACAGCTGCATTACTCCATGGTGAATATATATTATAACTTTAACTTAAAATCAACCCATTTAGAGAATTTAAGTGTTTCTTACTTAGATTATGCAAAAAAACGTAAACACCTCCCCTAAAAGTATTTTTTTTTTTTCTAGTTTGATATTTGTCATCAGAACCATAGACAGTCACGCCAAACGTCATGACGACAGATCATGTAAAGAGTTCAAGAATAAACTTGAACACAAAAACAAACAAGGTCAGGAGGACTTCTAAACTGCAATGGCCACAAGGTAGGCTCTCTCCAAGCTGTGTCACGTGGGATTTGCATGTGTTGTATTTAACAAACAGTGTACTGTCTGTACACCTTTTCTGCATTATGGATGAATCACAAGCTCAACAACAAGCTCTGCTTTTGTTGCGCCTGGGGCTCCAGTTACAACATCAGAACAGCTCTTTGGTCCTGTGACCATGCAGACAGCCTCAGATGAAGCTCTGGCGGGTAAACTGTTGGTCAGGCCTGTTGCTTTTTTTTTTTTAACACCATCATATGAATGCATGTTTGTACACTCACACACCAAAACATCAATCCTACTTCACTCAAATAGTAGAAAATTTTTCCTCTTGATCTTTATAATTTCAATAAAACAAACACTTAACATCTGGATATTTTGAAGAAAACAGAACAAAAATAAGGTTTGAATTAATATTTCATTAAACACCTGCAGAGTGACTACAAATCGATCTGGCTTCTTATCACAGCTCTTTAATTTCATATGTAGCATTAATATGCCCACTGTATGACAGGTGCCATCGGTGAACCATCTGCCACAGATTAAATACTCACTCACACTGCAGTTAAGTGTGTAGCCTGTAGGGGAGGTCTGCTCCCTTCTCAAACAGAATGAAATATCTCAGTTTAGTGTTGACTTGAAGGTATCCCTCATGCAAAAATAAATCAGTAACTTAAACCATGCATTAACAGCTTTATAGCAATGCAATTTAGTAGAATTATCATCTCTAAAAACAGGTCATTTTAAACTGAGATTTAATACTTGTTGAAATTATCCTTCATACTGCATTCTAATTATTTTCATTGTAATTTACTCAAAATTTTTTCAATCTAATCCCTGACACTGTTGTTTCTCTAACCTCTCTTTCTGCTCCTAAATCTTCTGTCATGCTTTCAGTCTGTATATATCAAGGGCTAAGCACTCTTTTTGTCTCCTCTAGATTGCTTTGAGAAAGAAAAAAAAAACTTACTTTCTGTTAATGATTTTTCCTCCGCTTTGAATGGTTGGGAAATAATTCGCTATGAGCCGCCCCAGAGCAGGCACAGTTATTTCATTGTTCTTGCTGCCCTTTCTCTAATTGTGCTTAGCAAGGGGAGATGCTGGCATTCCTTTTGTTTTTTTGGTCTCAGTTCAAGGAGTGCCCACTAGTATTTCCTGAAGTTGTGAAAAAAAGCTGCACATGTGAAAGTGCAGGGAGCGCAGAAATGGGAGCGAGATTATATTTGCACAGATAGATGATGAGTTAAGCTGTATAATTGTCCTGTCGAAGTTTGTTTCAAAGTCCGATTTTCGCCACACACTAGTCACTGACGATGTTCATTGTCCCTCACTCTTGTTCATATTGTGCTTTGAGACTTTATCAATAAGGTAGTTTCCTTACCTATTGACAAATGCCCAAGAAACATTGGTTTCCATTGCATTCTTTACCAAGTCCATTTGACAGTGAGATTTTAGGGTTATTCATTGTATAGGTTTGCCTTCTATGAATTGGATATGCTCTCACTCTGACGGTGTGTGGTTGATATAATTTGGGATAGTGGCAGTTTCATAGTGCCTAGTTTCTAACGTTGGTCAGTCTTAATATAACACGCAAATGCCAAGCTCTCAGTTTTACCTGGCTGAACATTTGCGTTTCAAAACTGTTTGTTGAAATAGTTCGAACTAATCCAGTCTATGTTTCAGTTTAACTGGTAAGAACAAAAATAGCCCATCACTCTGTTGCACCTTTTTGTTTTAATTGAGGGTGGGGAATACGGGGCAGTTTGTTTCTGATCAACACAACTACAAACGTGAATGCATGGGATATGTATTCTTTATGAGGAGTAAAGTGCTCTTGAGGGCCCCCTGCTAGCATGGAGGGCATAAACTCAATTATATCGTTGGCTGGCTCCGGACCAGAGCACTGTAACTGCAGATTTACCCTGCATCCATCTCAGCTTTAGCTGTTGGAGTGATGTGATCTTTGAAGATTGACTCTGCATTTGCTTCTGTGTCCATCAAAAACAGGATTGGTTCTAATTTTGATGATTGATTATGCAGAGGTGATGCACACAACGCTGCCATGCAGACGCAGTGTAAATGCTTCCATTGACTATAGAGGGTGCACGTTTACTGCAGAGCGGAGACGCAGGCAGTGTAAATTCGGGGTAAGATTCTTATTCCTAAAACTGGAGAACTGGCAGTTTTGTGATATTATTTCCTAGTAACTATTAAATGTAGTCTGATTTAACCACACTGAAAATGCCCACCTTGCACTTGTCATATATGCACTTATTTAGATTTTTTAAGAGTTTTCAGTATATGTATATATTATGTTGTTCTATAAAATATTCAAATCTGACTCAGTTTATAGAACCAAAGAAACAAATTCTAGCCACATTAAACTAGTAATTTGGTAGAAGTTCAATGGACAACAGTGTTCAGAAATTTGCCTGCCATTGCAAGCAGTAAGACTCTCTGGTGAGAACTTTCCCCTTTGTAAAAAATGACGCAGGTAACATTCATAGCAGTACAAATAAACTTTGAAAAAATCTGATTTATCACTTTGAGAAACTTTTCAAAAAAATTGCCCTGCAAACGAGAACACAGGCATGAACAAGAGACAACTTGTTTAAGTATTCATTTTTCAAGATTCATGGGCTATCTTTCCTCCTTTTATTATTTCTCTGTGCCACAAAAAGGTTCCTAGTTTTCACTGTTTCAAAATCCTGTACTCACAATGACTTGGCATATGTTCTTCCTGCAGCTGTTGACCTCTGCCAATTCTACGGACAATTAAAGATCATTTGGTGTGGATACGCAATTTCTCCCACACTCCTAACAAGCATCAGATAACATCTTGCAGGGAAGAAAAGGGAGTGCAGAGGAATAAATGTGTCTAAATGAGGAATCCCCAGCTCATGTGTGCGATTGTGGGGCCTATAGCGGCCACGGGCTCAGGCTTGTGCTACATGGTGGAGCTTGGCAGACGAGCAGCACCGTCTAAAGCTCTTTGTGCCTTCAGGATCACCCTCGACTCATTCTTATTCATACATGATCAGAGGGGAAGCAGGCAATTGAGATTAGCCGTAGATCAAAAGAGCCGCATAGCTCCAGCGCTTGTGTTTTGTAGATTCAGGCGGCCCCACCACACAAGCAATGTATCGCGGCAGCGGAGCATCATACTGTTTTCTGGCCTCGGCACCGCTCAGAGGGGCTAGAAGGAAAAGGAGTTATCATACAGGAGGACATAACGCTGCTGGAAATCTCCCAGAATTAAATAACAAAGGGAAGAGCAAATAAAAAAGGCAATGTGAGCAAAATTACTCAGTTTCTGTAAGGCATTAAAGCATCACAACACTATGCTTTCCATACCACTGCTATCAAAACTGCTCCCATATGTGCGATAGGTCATGGTACAGTTCTAATTTGTTCAAAATTGAATGACTGACTGAATTCAATAAAATACACTTTTTCCAATGATGAAAACATTGTAACCACAAAGCATCTGGATTAACTTCATCTTTAACATAATCAACTGAAACAGCAAATTAATTAACTACTTAAGGATTCACTTTCTTGCAATTAAATTAGTGTGTAGAAAACAGATATGACATTAAATGTCTTTAGGAAGTTACATTTGGTGATCGTACCATCTAATAATAATTGGATACACTCATTATATCATTCGTCCGCTACCAATAAAAATAAATTGCCACCCTACTCAAGTTTCTACCTCGCTACATCAACAACTAAAAACAAGAATCAAACCAGTTGCAGAGCTTGAAAGCAAGCTGACAGGATGAGGTGACTTTCAAAGGCAAAAAGGCAACAGTGTGAGAGCATTCACCACCCTACAGAGAAAGAAAACATCGCGTTTCCTCAACTCTGGTGACCATCAAAGCCAGGGAATTCAGAGCCGGTAAAGCTAATATGTGAGGGCTAAGCAGTTCCTGTAAACTGGGTCAAAGTTTCGAAGGTTCTAAATTTTGGGGAATTAGTGGTTCTCCATGAGGAAAGCAAATTATATACTGCGAGTTCTACTTGTATGAATTGGCAAAAATAGTTTGGTTTGGTGTATAACAGAATGAAACAGTTTTAAACCTAACAAAACCTAAAATAAATTAATGTTATTGTTCTCACTAACTTTCCAAAGTCTTATGAAAAATATATGTTTGGCACAAAACAAAAAAGGAAAAATATTGGAGACTTCTGCTTTGTGTGGTCATTTGCAAAACAAACTATATACTGTATGTGAAAGTAGCCTAAAGTGAAACAAAAAAGTTGCCTAAGTGAAACTTTCTCCAAATTATTGATTCCACCTTAGTTGAAACCAACTATTTTTCTTCTCTGTCAGTCTGGTCAAATAACAGAAAAACATTTAAAGAAATTTTAGAACTTTTTGAACAGAGTTGAACCAATATCAAAATCACAGTTACACACGTTTTGAACTGGTCTGCCATGTACGGCCTAACATCCTGGAGGGTACAGGGTTTTCCACTGACAGAATGACATTCAGACAAGATGGGGGGAAATGGAAGGAATAGATTGTTCTGTGAAAACTCACCCGCGCCTTTTCTCTGCTTCCCCAGGAAGTTACACCCTGCAGAACCAGCTGAGGCCCAAATGTTCAAAAAAGTAGAGAAAACCTGTTTAAAAATCTAAACAACAAAAAAGATTGTAAAAATAAACAATTATAGTAAAAAAAAAAAAAAAAGAAGAAAAATTAGTTTAAGTTTGATGTCCTGCACGAATTAAAGCCAGACCAGCTGGCTTTGAAAAGAAACCCCTATTTGGGTTGTGTGTTTGCCCCGGATCTCTGCCTGGACTGAAATCAGGTCTGCTTCTTTCCGACCACCCTGTGCCACTGTCCCAGCTAAGTGCACCTGCCCCTATCAGTCTTGCATAAATTTAGCCTTGCGACGGATCAGTGTCACTTGTCGGCACTGGCATATGTGCCCTCCCAAGAATCCTGCAACCTTCACACTGGCAAAAAAAGACTACCTTTGTCCCTTCAAATGCAAAACGCATGCCTGCATGTGCAACTTCGTAAACAAAGCTTGTAACTTCATAGATAAGTATGCATGCTGCATGTATCTTACAGAAAATCTCTTCATCCTGTGAGTAAGCATTCTACATAGATTCTCTGCAATAATAAGTAAAATAACTTGTCTGAATATGAGTAAATATTAAAGTAAACATTTTATATGTGTCAAATTTGATGATCCAGGATGTTCCCGTTCCAAAATGGGATAAAAATAAATACATTTGGATGTGAGAAATAATCCTGCCCCTTTCATAACCGGAGTCAGAGTACTCTATGTGAATCATAAATAAATTAACCACTGGAAGAAATTACTGAGCATTGATAGCATCTTGACAATTATCAAAATACCAGGTGCGCTGGTATACACCTATAATTTAGTAATTATAAGCTCATTTATCTGAGAATATCCATGACTAAAATCCGCCCACACTCCTGCTTTTTCTAAGCACCATAATGCTCAGAAAATGTTGTTTTGTCATTACTGCCAGATAAAAATCGTGTTTCCTTCCAAAGAAAAACTTTGGTTTCCCTAAGCTGCTGGCATAGTGACTTTAAGCCATTTTTCCATCCTAATGACACATTCAGTACAGTGCAAGAATCAGCAGGCTTAAATCACAACATCTTCTGTGCACATTTGTGTGTTAGCTAAAATTTTTGTGGGGGTGGCACAGAGGTAATTGTAATTTTATCAAATAATTTCCAGTCACGCTCAAGTTATCTATTGCCAAAGTCTCATGTACAAAATTACACAGTACAACTAAATTAGTATGTCATATGTCCCTCTTAAATAGGTTGACTGTCTTAAGTGGAGATTGATGACATTAAGGAAAGACGAGCAGAATATAGATTAGTATTTTCCCAGAACATATCCAAAAGTGTTGATCTAGAATGAGAGCGAATGAAGCGGTGGCAACAGGATTCACTCTTGACAGTGGAATTTTGTTTGTATTGATCTGTTTTGTATTGCTTACATGTTTCTGGGCAAAGATAATAAACTAATCAGTTTTTTTAGGCCAATTTCTATTACCATTACTACCTTTACTCCTGCAGCATGCACGAGCCAGTTAATGTTTGCCCTTTCTGGTATTTTTGTGACCTCATGCTGGACAGGAATTGAGTAATTTTTTTGGACAGGAATCGGGTGGGAAGTGGATCAATGGTCACAGTTTATTTAATCTTGTTGGGCTGACAAAAGGAGGTATTTGGTGGGCTGATGAGACAAAGTAACAGAAATCTTGTAAATGTAGTGGCTATCCACTTTGAGGAAAAACAATGGATAACCTGAAATAAAATGAGAGATCTATGCCAGATGAGAATCGACTCTAAGAACATATATGAAAGATAACATGTTGCGTCGACGTCAGTGGCTGACTTCTAAAGTGAGGATGCATTGAGTTCAGAGGGCAAAAACATCAAACCTTGTTGCTGCATGGTTCTTGAGTAATGTCATAGATGACGGACCTCTGTTTGAAGCTTTTAACATCTGAGAGAAGAAAGTGATTCATCAAAACCCTTTTGTCGAGAGAAACATATTTCTATCTTATTGTACTTTTCTTCACAGTATTTCCCTTATTCCTTAAAGTCTGGTGCTTTGCATAGGTTGCGTGTGTTATTTTATCAAAATCACATGATAAATAATAATAATAAAATTATAGAAACTTCAACATTTGGACCTTAATTTAATACTATCAGTTCATTTGTCTTTCAAAGATCCAACTTCCAATGACATTTACTGGCATTTTTAGCAACATCATCATGTCCATTGCTACTGAAGGAGAACTTCTAAATAACCTCAAATTCTTACTATTTTCTGAGATCTAAGGGTGGTTGTGGAGTTTTATAGGAGGTCAGGATCAACCACTGGTACCTCAAACCACAAGCAGAGCCTGATCAGAGGTTTGAAACCATCCATCCATCCATCCATCCATCCATCCATCCATCCATCCATCCATCCATCCATCCATCCATCCATCCATCCATCCATCCATCCATCCATCCATCCATCCATCCATCCATCCATTTTTGTACACCCCTGTCCCTATTGGGGTGGGGAGGTGCTGGTGCCTATCTTCAGCTAATGTTGCAGGCGAGGGGCAGGTACACCCTGGACAGGTCACCAGTCTGTCGCAGAAATACAAAGTCAAACATTTCAAACAGCAATTTCCAAACAAAAAAATAAAAATAAAAAATTGGCTTGTTAAAAATGTTCATAATTATAAAAATCCTAAAAAACAACATATTCAAAATAAAAGTATGTAAAGCATGTTAATAGATTCAATAAACATAACTTCTTAGTACTCCAAAAAGTCTAAATCCAAAATCTGAATTGAACAATGTCATAATGAACATGTACAGTCGTCCATCTGCTGCAGACGTCAGTATGTCTGCCCACCTCTCTTCTCCATACAAGGTCGCTCTGTGTGTGTTCAGCTTCAGAGAATGATGAGAGGCTGCAGCACACAATCACCACCAAGCGCATACCTTTCTACCCCATAGTCCAGAGACAGATCTAAGGGCTATATCTTTATCAGACATCTCGAGGTGAAATAGCTGATTTATAATCCCTGCTTATAAGGCTCTAAACTGAGTGTCCATCATCAAGTGATGAAAAAATACTAACCTCAATACAGAACTGAGAATTTTATGCATATGGATAATTAGGGTTTCTGGTCCTATCATCATGTCCTCAGAAAATTAAGAATTTGTGACGCGAAAGGTCCTGGGGTGCTTCATCTCGATGAGCTTGGTCAGTTTTCAGTGACAGGAATGGATGAAGCAGAGCAGAAGGAGGGTTTGAAAGACACTGAAACAAGAACAGAGAGCATGAGAGAGCTCGAGACTCGGAGAGCGAGCTGCACACCTCCATCCAAAAACAACATTTTAAGTGAAACCTTACCCTTTCCATCTGGCTCTTTTGAAGGGTGGATTATGACTAGTAGCATGGCTGGGTTTTTAGCCTACACTGTTCCTTCTGTAAGACCAGAATGACATTTTTCCATAAGGATAATTGTAAAGGTCATAATTGTGATAACTGTCACTACTGCTGAGAGTTCAAAATATTTATATAATACAAGCCATACGAAAGTAAAACTAGATTAAAGATATGTTCAAATGGAAAGGAAATATATTTCCTTTCCATTTTGTCAAATTTTGCATTTTTGAAGAAAATTAGCTGCCACTCCAACAAAAAGCACATCTTTTGTGCTTAGATTCCCTGCATGGTCATTCTCTCTGGAACAGGAGAAAGACAGAAAGCATTTTCAGGTGGCCATGGCAACAAAATGAAGCAATTTCCTTTTCTCTTTCTTCTCTGTATTTGCCCTAACTTCCACACAAATCTCCTTCACCTTCTCTTCACTTAGTTTCCTGTGGACTGAGTGCAAATTGGGATACATAATATGTTTTCCTCCTTTAGATGTGGTAAATAAATATGATATGTGGTGTAAAGAAAGTTACTGAAGCAATAAACCCTTTGGTGCTTTCTTTGTGTTATATCATGGATGGCAACAGAGGATTTCCTCACATCTCTTCCTTTATGCCCATATCTGCAAATTAGAAGAAATGTCAAAGCCATTCAAAAGCATGAAAGCAGAGAAAAGTGGGGAACAGAACGACTTCTTGATTAACAACATTTCAAAGGTTTTAGTTAGCACTTTGGACCAAACTCAAAGTATCACACATGAGCACTTGATTAATATTCACGCTTTAAGTACTATTAATCATTGACACACTGCAATCACATCATTCAGTTAAATCTTAGTAGTGTCATCTTCCTTCTCCTACTGTGCCTTGAGTGTTTTCGCTCCTCTATAAATCCATGTGACTGGTGTTTCAACTTTAAAACCAAAATCCAACCAATCAAACAATCAGGTTTATTTGCATAGCACGTTTCAGCAATAAGGCAGTTCAACTTTATATCATAAAAACAAAAAAAAAAAAAAAAAGTCACAGAAGACACCACAGAGTCAACAATTACTCTGTTCACCCTCAGCTGTGCAGTCATCCACTCATCCCTGAACCTCCAGGCTCCCAACAATCACAACTCATGGGGAGCTAATGCAGTGGTGAAGTGCATGGACAACGTCAAATTCCTGAGCATCCACCTCATCTCAAACCTGGTAAGAGGAGGTTGCTGAACACTTCTCCTCTCACGAGAAAGGCCCAAACGAGACTCTTCTTTCTCTAGAAACTGAAAAGAGCTGCACTTCCTTCACAGTTGCTCAAAAGCTTCCATGGAACCATGACTTGGTCCCAGTCCAGGCCAAAAAGGATTTGGTGAAAACTGCCCAGCAGATTGTGGAGAGCCAGTTACCCAACCTGAAGCAGATTGCAAAGGAAGGTCAGTCATGTTGCTGCTGATCCCATTCATGCAGGACAGAAACTGTTTGCACTGCTGCCATCTGGGAAACAGTACAGGTACATAGGCAGCACAACCACATGGCTAAAGAACAGCTTTTTCCCAGGAGCTGTGAAATCCATCTGCCCTCCTTCCATCCCCTCAGCAGACACACTCACACCCATTTGCTGCACCATAAGGACTGACTGAGACTTGTTCATCTACGTATCTCTTTATCATCGAGGAGTCTATTCCAATTTTGTTATGTTCTAGAAACATAGTGAGAAATAAAAAATCTTATATCTTTAGTCTTTGGTCTGCAGGTCTACAGCTAATTATGAGCAGCTTTTTTATTTTTTATTTTTAGGGAACTTTAGGAATGAAAACATTTTTATTATTTCAAGAATGGTTATGTGGGATAAAATCATTCAAATTATATTTATTTCAAGCAATTAAAAACAAACCTGACTGATTTGAACAGCTATGTTCTCACAAGCCAAAAGTCATGTAAGCAGATTAGTTTTTGTTTGTAAAGCAATCTTCAAAGTCAGTTACACTGGATACGAAAGCTTATTATTTCTTATTCAGTTCAGTGTTTAGGAAACAGAAGTAATAATTTGAAAGTTTTAATATGATATTTCTAGCAGCTGACACATAAATGTAATTACAAACAAAGCAGAACAAGATTTGGTCTGAATTTTTAGACACTTTCTTCAAAATATGTTTTATTAATTTGAACATGTATGTAGATTTCAAGAAGTATTTGGTATTTGCACTTGGCAGATTAATCTAACTGAGATAGTTCAGTCCTAGATGAAAGCCTTCACTGCTCACGTCGAATGTACGGCATGAGAGAGTGGAGTTAAACAGCCAAAGGCAGCAGCTCAGAGAGCAATGCCTGGGGCAGTACAGTGCTATGGTGCCCAGGGAAAACAAAGTCTCAGGCCAGAGGTTTAGGGTGTTGCCCAGGCTCCCCTGTCAACTGCACTTACTCTGACAGAACACAACTCAGACTCAGACCGCAGAGATAGAAAACATCTCACTGTGTAATGGAAAAAAAGTGATATGTCAGTTGTTTCACTGTGGCCATGGTGTTCTAGGTTTGCCACGCAAGCATCGCGGCTGAAGTCATTACTTTGCTAAAGACAACAAAATGTCAAGAAACCTGGTTTAGAATATTATTTGATGAGGAATCACAAAAAAAGGTTAAATCCTTCAAAAATGTTGTGTTGTTTATATATATATATATATATATATATATATATATATATATATATATATATATATATATATATATATAACAGTCACACTGTATACCATAGAGCATCCTTATTTAACTATTTTGCTGAATGAAAATATTGAAACTAACCTGAATTTGAAACAGCGTGTATTTCAGTAAAATAATTATCGCATACATTATAAAGAGTTGCTTTAATTAGCTCTAATCAACAAATTAAAAGAAGTGAAGACTAATAGAAAATATGTATGTCTGTAATTAATTCATAAAACTGATTTTAGTCAATAAATGGAGTGACTGAGAAAAATGAATATTTTGATAATATTCTAATTTACTGAGTAACGAATGCAAATGGAGCCTGACCACATATTGTTAACAGGATGTTAAGATCAACTAACTGACATCAACACATGAATGTAGACAAGAAAAATGCAAGTGTTGGAGCAGCTGTGAAAATATGCAGCTGTGAAGGATCAAATATGGATGGATCACTTTTTACTTCCTATACTATTTGGTCTACGAATTGATGTGATGCTCTATACTTTTTTTAAACATTATCTTATTTTGTATTTTTTTATCTTTTTTGTGTCTATTGTGGCATACTCATTGTTAGAAAGCCGACCACACACAGCAATACACTATAAATTATTATGACTAACCTCATTACACATAATAAGGTTAGTTACAGTATGTGGCAGACTGCCAGGGTCCCATCTTCACTTACATCAAATCCAGACTTCCAAAAAGTATTATACCTTTTTTTTGATGCGTGTGGACTGTTCCTCTAGTTTCCTCTAGTTGTGAACCCTTCTCATTTGCAAGAATATCCAGTCTTGCAAAATAACAACAGTCCCTTTCACGATAGAGGAGGGGATTTCTCCTTGTCTATATCTTGGGGTCTAGGTATAAAATTTTCAGCACAGCTCATGACCACATTGACATAATAATTAACTTTTATGAGTTAAACCTGTGTTAATTTGCAGCAGTACTGATTATTCAGGAAGTTAAGAAGAAGTTAAAAAGAAAACTTTATCAAACCTAATTGTGTTTTTTTGGGGGGTGGGGGGGTTTGTACCATAGAAAATACATGTTTGCACATCCCTAAATTACTGAATAAATTCAAGCTTACTCCCACCTTCCCCCTACAGTCTACTTTTACTCTGATAATGCTACAAGTTCTCTTTTTAGACGAAACCATTTAACCCTCCGCTATAAAGGAATGAAGTATTGCAACCAATACGGGGCATTGTGGCTACCATGGAAATACATTGAAGAATGTTTCCGTTCTCGTATGTACTTGATTACTAAGTTAGTATTTCTGTAAATATGTCTTCGCAAGTATTTTTACTGCAGGTACTGAGGAAGAGTTGAGACCCTTCCATGTCAATAATGAGAGACCCACTACAGAAGAGCCAACAATATACATAGATAGTTATGCACAAATTCATGTGAACCACATTGCACTGCACACAGTGTGCACAATTAAGCATCAAGGCACAATCTTTGTACAAGTTCAGTGAAAGAAACGGTCCGAGCGAGACTTGTCATCCACCTGTCAGGGGCAGTGATAATTTCAAAGTGTTCCCTCTGTGGCCTCTTCCACACGCCCTCCGTGTTCAACGCTGTTGAATAATCATTTAAATGTCTCCTAATCAGCCCCTTTGCCATTTTCAATTACACCTTTCTAACCTTACATTTGTGTAATTTTCTAATCTAGATGAGGCGTGGGGCTGTCAAATGTGCCAGAAGAATGCAGCAAAGTACCACCAAAGACGGATAAATGAATCTACACAGAGGGCTACGTGTGCTCCATATAGCATGCCGCAGCTGATAGAGTATGGTGGCTTCCGGTACTTTGAAGTATGAGCAGTTGAAATTTTCCACTGTATATGAATGCATTAATAATTTGCCAGGAGATTTAACGCTGCTCTGGTCGAGACAAGCTGACTTGCTGTTCTAATCTTACAGGTTATTTGTGCCGCAGCAGTTCTAATTCACTTCAGTATTGATTTTCGCATGTCCAGAACTCTCTACCTTTGTGTAGAGCCACCAAGGGGGTAAAAGCATTTTCAAAGGGCAGCTTTTGGTTGAGCCACGTTTCTGGTAGTGTTGCTCTGAGCAGATGGATGTGGAGTGCAAGTATAACCCGAGTCGTCACCCATTACAGTGTTTTAGGTTAAAGTGCCCAACTGCCCACCACTCTCCTAACTGAAAAAAGCATCTAAAAGGACAGTGAATGATGCAAGGTACCCCCTGCTACTTTTTTCATTTTCCTCTTTTTTGTACTCGTTTATTTATTTTATTTATGGCACCGCAATTCAAGAGCTTCATGTGTTCACACTTTATGTCCATGTTTTCTTTTCCCTTACTTTGTTGCCTGATTTCATTTGCAAGGGATTTTGTTGCAGCTAAATGTTATTATAAATGTGAACATGATTTTCATGATCCTCCTCCCTTTGCAGATTTTAGTTTTAATCACACACTGTGTATTTATGTTGTTCTTATTTTTAAAACTGGTTGGAAAGTAACAAACTAGCTCTTTGTGTGTTGTCATGTTAAAAGTTTTAATAAACAAATAAAAAAAAAAATAAAAAAAAATCACAATATACCATGGGAGCACAGGGAGCCAGAGAGAAGCAAAAGCAAAAATCTAGAATATAAAGTTGCCAGGAAAATTCAGGGGAGTAACACGGTTGAACAGGAATTAATAGAAGGTCCCAGCAGTGAGGAACAGAGAATGAGTTGTAAATAAACTGGGGAGGTCAATATCTGAACAATAATCAGATGATTGATTAGAAATGGGTTGCAGGTGTGAGGGGAGAACAGGAGACAGAGAGAGGGGACTACGAAATAAATTTAACAATGAAGAATAATTAGATCTAAGAAACTTACACTAGAGTAACAAACAGTAGCTAGAGACAAGAAATAAACTAGGAGAACTGAACTGAACAAAACAGAAACAAGACTGCTCAAAGAAAGAGCCTAAGGAATACAAAATAATAATAATAATAATTATTATTATTATTAATAATAACTAATAATAATAATAAACCCTCAAAACAACTCAGGGACATTGAGAAACTCTTGTGGTTCTCTTAACCATGAATCAGAGCTTCAAAGTGACAAATAACTTGTTCTTTTTTCATTTTAAAGTAAACATGACTGAGTCAGTAGATGTTTCCTGTGGAAAACTTACCCATATTTGTACAGTTGACTGATGACTAAAATCCCTCCATAATATTCAGTGTTGACTCATATAAATGACTAGTCTTGTTTTATTCTATACAAGTCCAATTCAATAAAATATTAAAGGCAAAATTAATTTACGCACTCAGTCATGTTTCATTCCGCAGAGATGTACTTCAAGTCTTTCTGCTCGTTTTGATGATTATAGTTTACAGTTGAAAAATGCCCATATTCAGTTTCTCTAAAAGTTATGCATGGCAAACGAGGCCCATAAAAAATGACACACTGTGGACCAACAACCACACATGGCATAAGTCTACCATTCTAACACCACAAGCAGGAATAACTGAGAAAAATGAACTTAAGCAAATATATGGTGTTATGTCCAGATTGGGTAAAGTGATGTGTCAAAGTAAAATTGATAGCTTCATGGCTGCGCTTTATTGATTATAAGCCTCAAAGCCTTAAAAGCTGAGCACATGCTTGCTATCTGAACTTTTACAGCTGTGACATGAGTACTCATGTCTTGTCAAAATAAAAATAAAAATAAATAATTAAATGTCAACAATTTATTTCTTTAAGAATGATTTGATCTTTTTGAGGACACTTGACATTTCTTTCATTCCTCATTAAAGTATCTTGAGCCTGAAACCAAAATCAGCTGTTACAAACCTACTTAATGAATGTCTTTCTTTAGTCAGTGTCTGTATATTCCTTTGAAAGTGGTTACATCTTTTTCCGTCCTCTGAAGTCCATTTCCTCGTGTGTTTGATTAAATTCCAAGAAAGAGTGTTGGCTTCAGCTCAACAACACAGATGTGACAATTTAATAAGGCAAAATACTGAAAGCAGCAGTTGTTTTGTAGCCATCTGCTTGTTTTTTAAACAATTGCTCGGTATAATATGCATTCACGTTTTTGTTATCTCTTGGAATTGTGATTTTTTTTTAGATAGAAGGATTTGATCATTAAAGAAATATTCTTTTAGTGCCATTTTTCATCAGTCTCATTTACAAATTGAAAAACCTCAAAGATTATGTATGCTGTGGCTAAAACATTTTTCTTCCTTTGCCCCAAATAATCTAGGATTATTTGATGAACAATCCTTCCCTGTGTAAAACAACTTTTTAACTGAGGACAAGTATAGCTTTCCAACTGGACCTGTGACACAAATACTCTCTTAAACAAACAGAAATTCAACACCTCAGCATCAGATTCCTCACCACAGCAGAGGGAAATGGTAAGGGACACAGAGTTACTAAGTGCACTGTATATGGAGGCTGTAAGAAGAAAGCACATTCACTATAGTGAAGATCTTTTGTATCACAATGTAATGAAAATTATCCTATTTTAATCAGGAGAATAGCCACTGGGTTTAGAGCTGATGAAAAATTACGAGGCCTGCATGATTTTCTTTAAATACACGGTTCCACCTTTAGAAAAATCCTGAAGCAACAACATTCTGCTTCAGGGTTCTAATCTTTTCTTTGTTCCAGAACTGAAACACGGATAAAAACAAACAATTTTAATTTTTTTTCTTCTCTCACTCTTTCTTTCTGAGCAGTACATAACTTTTTACCTGCTCCGGTATTTTTTTATTTCTTCTTTCCTTTCTTTCTTTGTTTAGTTTTGCTAAAATGGTGTTTCTGGTTTTCCCTTAACATCACCCTGCCTAATATTATGTTTTTACTTCAGTCAGATTTGTCCAAACACATTGCTCCATAAGTCCTGTGACTTAATCAAATGCAATTACGTAAATGCTGACCATGCTTTCAGGTTGATTTCTAGATGAAGGCTTAATTTCTTGTGTAATAACTTTTATTGTTTGACTATCACTTTTGACATTTTCACAATTTCTCTAAATGCTACATGCTCTTAACTGTGAGCGAACTTGCTGTGATATCTAATCCTGAGATGATTAGTGAACGTCATGAATGACTTTCTCTTGGCAAAAATCTTTGTGTTTCTGTTCAAATTGCTTAAAATTGCTGAACAGCCACCGACAGATAAGTACAGATTTTTTCTGGCATGGCAGAAATAACGGTTCTCTAAGTTGATTGCTTTTCTGTTCAAATTCACATTGTGCTAAGGCTCACATTTTATAAAGGCAGACACACTTTCAGATGGTTATCTAATCAAATGCATTAGAAGAAAAGCACTTGACTTTAACCTATGCTCACTTCCAGTTAAAGCAGAGTCGGTTTTGCAATACAGTTTTGTCAGTTGCTTTATTTTCAATCAGACTTTTGGACATAAAACTTTGGGGTTAAAAAGATTTAAAGATCTGTGCAAGCAACATCCAAAATTATTATTGCTGTTTTGGCCAATAACTAATATTCACTGATAATATCATAGTCACATGACTAAATAAAACATGACCAGCCTCATGCAAATTTTATAAAACTGTGGAGGATTGTGATCCCACAGCACACATATTCTGAGACCGCTCTATGTTTGGTCATTAGAATATCAGGTTCCATGAAAGAAGTCAAGTAAGAAAAGACGTCCATTAAAATAAAATATGTTATCCATTTCTCCTCTGCACTTGCTGTTATACTTGCAGGTTTCCGGGGGAATGGGACCGTCATAAAACAAAGTTAATCGATGCACAAAAGGGGAGAACATGGAAAGTACATGCAGAAAGACCCCATGCTGGGTTTTGAACCCGAGACCTTTTATTCAGCAAGGCAATAGTTCATTCAACTGTGTCACTTTGCAGCCAAAAATCAAAGCATCAAGACAAATTGTCACATAGTCTCACTGGCTACGGTTGTGTGCGTGTTTGTGTTTGTCAAAATAACAAGCAATATTTCTGGAGAGACTTTTCTTTGAGTATCAAAACTAAACTGAGCCCTCTGAAATACCAGGAGAGGAAGCCGCTACAAATCACACAATATAATCTTTATGTCTGAAGACAGCTGTACTAAATCCTTAATTGAAAGTGGGATTCAGATGTACCATGAATGATCAGCTTTACAAGTTTACAGGGACACAGAAACGGGAAGTAATCCACTGGAGCTGTTTTATGTGCTCGAGCATAGCAGGACACTTTTATGCTTTTCCAGTAATTTAAAATGACACTAAAACAGCAAAACTAATGTTTAACACTGACATGTGGAGGCTGAATATTGTTCCTTACATAAATTTTCCTTTGCCGAGTAGTCATAGTGACTCATCAAGCAACTCAGTCTCCTGCTGGTACACACAAAACCTGTCAAATGGGGAGTTTTTCTTTTAAATCCATATGTTCTCATGGGTTACATGCATCTCTATTCATTGGCAATATAATGTTTAGTATTTCATTCAGTCAAAGAAAAAATTATGAATTTATGTGCAAAGCCTCTAATGTGTTTGAATTATGGATTTTCAGTTTCTGGTATCTTTATATATATATATATATATATATATATATATATATATATATATATATATATAATATATATATATATATATATATATATATATATATATATAAACCATGCCATTGCAGTCTCTACTGTATATACACCAAACAAACTCATGTGGACTGAGGAAGTTTTTCCAAAGCTGGTATTGAAGCAGAAGGTGGCTAGGAAAAAAACAGTTGTTTTCATGTTTAATCTTTTGGTGGTCTACTTTTTTTATTTTTTGTTATTTTATAAAGTAATACAAAAAAAGTGAAAAAAAAGAAAAAAAAAGAGATTATGCAGCTCAGGATTTCATGCTATGTGTGTATATTTATCACAACAAACACATAGGAATTACATACAAGATGGATGATGAACAGTTATTTTTGTACAAAATCCCTACATAGAAACTACAATGATACACTGCCAATAGCACTCTTCAGTGTAGAAGTTGTTACAAAATGAAAACGACCCAACCTTCTTTCACTATCGTTGAGTTATTTTCAAAACTGATGTAAAAGAAAGAACAGACATGATGTGTGTTGTGAAAGTTTGACACCTGAAATCATTTCAGTTGTGCTGTAAGGGTCGACGTTAAAATCAGTGTTTATCACGGTTGCCAAAAGTTGCCCAAATGGAATTTGGACAAATGATCTACTAGCAGTGTTGAAACCGTAATCACAATGAGTTTTACATTTTTCGTCTACATTGAGAGAAAATATGATTTGTAAAATAACTGTTCACATTTATAAAAGGCTGTAAATCTGAAGGATTTTATTTGCAGAATTTTAACTTTCAGTGGAGTTTTAGTTTTAGGCTTCAGTTTTGCATGTAAACACAAAAGCAAGCTTTCAATACGGAAAAACTAAAAGACGCAGTTAAACTCATCTGCCTCTAATTACTTCAGTAAAACTTCATTTTTGAGCGCAAAGTGGTGGTTCGGATTGTCACTGCAGCTGATAAGGCTTCATGTTGCATTATTTTTCTAGGGGACTGGTACAACCCAACTAAGAGACTTTATTGATTCAAATTAATTAATCCACTTACAGAGGAAGGGGATTCTGCAGCTCTGGCGTGACTTAAATAGTCCACACAAATTAAACTGCATATTTGTTGCCTTTAATGATATTCCACAAGTAATTGAATCGCAGGAATTTTTTTTCAAAATATGTTACATTAGCATGCAAAAACCTGGTGTTTTAGTAGTGGATAACCCAAATGAATTTGATATTAATTAATTTTTGATACGGTACAAGCCTGTTTAGTGTGATTGTAATTACCATTTCTGTGGTGAAGTAATACTGACTGGATATTAAGGGGGAAGACAAGATAAAGCCAATACATATTTATATTTGAGAACTCAGCAAGCATTGCTCAGAGAAATAAATAAAAGATTTTAAAAAAAGTTAAAATACACACACTTTTCTTCAATAGATCAATAGTTAGCATTAAAACAATCTTCCAAGATGCATTTTGTGTTTTTTTTTGTTTCTTTGTTTTTTTGTAGTGGCAGAAAATTTGTATGATATAGAAGGTCCATATTACTCCTGTTTCCTTTTTCCCCCTCTCCTAATACTTTGTGATAGGCATACCACAACATCCCTCACTAATCCTAGCAGGAAAAGCATAGATTACACATTCCGTGCTTGGGCAGATGCTTTTACATGCACGCAATTAAGAATGCTACTTCTCATGTCAAAACTAAATATGTTAAAATGGTAGACATGTTAGAACAGTTGGTATGGCATAATGATTCATTTCTTGTTTACAAAGTGAAGTTGGAGGTATATTTGATTAAGCATGCATAATGGAAATTATTAATTTAATTTTTGCTGCACATGCTAAAGAGAGCAGTTGAGTGTAAGTGCTGGTGTATGTGTGTAAATGCGTTTCAAGTCTCTAACTTTTTGAAATGTGCTCATTCTTATATTACAGCAGCAGCTTTGTCACTCACAGAAACACGTTTCTACAAATAATCAATAACATAAAGGTTGTATTATGAAACTTTTACCTCTAGATGTTGAATCTCTTCTTTCCATCAACTAGTCTATTCCATAGTTCAGAGGAAATTTCATCCCACTCCTCACCTCACTTTCAGCAGTGAGATGTTTGAAAAATTTCTATCACAAACAGCCTGCAAAGTCACCATGCAGAATGTCAGTGAGATCAGAATGAGGGCTTTGACTCGGCCCAGGGCTTCCACCGTTTCCTCTCAGCTGGGCCCATGTTGCATTACTGGTGTCTTTTGGGTCACTGTCATGTTGCAGGATGGAGTTCTGCTTTGGCTTCCTTTGGCTTTACAGATGGTCTAGTGTTTTCGAGAAGCACCCTGTCATACATGGTAGAATTCATGCTGATTTCTATGGTGATGAGTTTATAGGTCAAAGCAAAGAGCCTCCAAACTACGACACTTTAAACTCGATATGACATAGTTGTTCTTTTCCTGAAATGCTGCATTTGAAAAGCGCTTCTTTTGTCCATGCCTACCATGAAAGCTGAGTCTTTGTAAATCTACAAGCATGTACTTTCACATCAACAGTAGCAAGACTTTTCTATATGTCCCTTGTTGACATTTTAAGCATTTTCAAACTATTTTTGGCATCTTGCAGTTGGCTCTCAAGATCAGCTTACTTGCATGGCGAGACTTGGGTATATTGGCAGTTGTTGCCCCTCCACTTGTTGACTATTTCCCAGAAAGTTGATTGGCTGGTTTTAAATTTATTTATGACCTCTGAATTTATTACCAGACTCATGTATTACATCGATCTTTTTTCTGAAGACTTGAGAATATTCTTTGGATCTTACCATGATGTACAGAAAGTAAGTAGCGCCCCAAATTGAATGTGAA